AAAATGGCTGGGTTTCGATGAATTTCTGTAGATAACATTGTTGTGAAGACTGTCCGTTCGCGTGGAAGGTGAAGTTGACGAGTTGATCTTACTGGAATACGACGGTTGGCTTCCGTTGTTTGGCACCCGTTTTGTAATTGCTCTGATTTATAGTCGGTAGTGAGTACAGACGTTAACGCAGACATACACACACACACACACAAACACACACACACAAATACAAACACACACACACTCTAGTATAAGCACCATGACGAATATTAAAGCGAAGTAGTCAAAGTATTCTAAATCTATCTAGGCCTACCTATCTGTATTGTTATTTTTAGTAATTTATTCTATGTATAGCATGTATGACATAACCGGATAGTCCTCTTGACTTGGTGTTAAGATCAGACATTTGCAAATCTGTCTCGTGGACTCCGTAAAGCAAAGTTCTGTAGGACAACGCAAATCGGCGATCGTCTTCCGGTTGGATCCACCTGCAAACCTTTTCATCGTTCTTTTTCATACAAAATGAATGTTTCCCAAAAAAATTGAAAATTTTATTGAATTAACTTGACCTGATCATCCCAACTTGTAATGTATATGAAAGAACAGTGTCATAATTCTTCTTTCATTTTAATCGCAACAATTTCCCGCTTCACGCCATCGACTTGGTATATTCTCTAGCATTTCGTAGGCAGCCTAGTTGGTATCACTTAAAGATGAACCAAGTCTGACAGAAGATTCAGGACAGGATGTGTTCACCGAGGTAGCCATGACAGCAAAACCAAGTTATGAAAACCGGGTCAAACGACTTTCATAACAAGTTTCATTTTAATATGAGATGCATTCACCCAATTTCGTTTAAGTTGGGGAAGGACTGGTAGAAGAAGAATTTTCCCACAATTACATGAGTTGAGCTGACGTTTTCACTGAATTTCACATAGCCTTGCTGTCCCAAAAGTTGTTATCATCCCGGCTGGAGTGGACTGCAGTTTCGACCTCGCATCGGTCTTATCAACATCCCCAGGCAACGTGCAATTCAATGGAAACATCAACTCAACTCATATCATTGCTTAAACGAAATTAAGTGAATACATCTCATATTACTGATTTACTGATAATCACGAAAACAATACTTGATTGGAAAAATAAAGTTTGATTTTGTTGGAGACTTTCATCTCGTTTGAGAGTGCACGATAAAGAGATTCCTAGATCGATCTCACCGGAAGGCAGCTATTATTTCCTACTTTACTGCAGCCGTTTGGCTTTAATACGTCTTTCAGATTGATGGTGTTCACAAGACATCCGCCTTCATTTCGAGTGAAAATGAGCTGTGATTTCGTTCATCACACAACTCTGAGTACTACGATGAGTATTAGGACTGACACTGCGAATTCTGACCTACATAAGTACAGATGTTGAAGCACACACACACACACACACACACATATATATATATATATATACACTTAATTATAAGTATCCTGATTAATATAAAAGAAAACCAAGTTAATCATTTTATATCTATTAAACTATCCATCTATTTCCTTCTATGCATATAAATAGATTAATCTTGATTTAGTATTAGGATAAACTTTTGCAAGGAGTTCCCGCTGTGACGAGGTCCGTCAAGTGGCATGACGGGCGAGAGCTCAGCCAGTTTTGACGAGAAACGAAGGAGCCAGCGAGGCGCCAATCAACGAATCTCTTCATTATGCATCGTCATGTGAAATGAAAGTCGCTCCAATATGTAGTTGGGCGCAGTGATTCGTCGTTTTTTTCAATAACCGGACAAGTGTTAGGTCACATAAAAACGAATCAATTCCTATCTCATAAAAAAGATGATATGCGTGTACTATCTCATGAATACTGAAATGCCTACTGTAAACATGTGTATATCGGGCGTTATTTCGTGAATACTCCAGACTTCAGCCCAGCCCTGTCACTCCAAACTAGAATTCATCGAATCTGTTGTTCCAACTGGCTTCAAAGACCCAGACTGGGCCAAATCTCTATTGGTCGGGTGGTCGGGTGGTCGGGGCTGACTGTTATCCCAAGTGACAATGTCTACAGCACTATTGAGGTGAAGTTGTGGTATGATTTCGCGCTCACTTGCACCACCCTAAAAGACCCATTGCAGCCTCATTTTACATTCAGACAGACTCGAACAATCGCCACATGAGTTTAACATGAAAACGGTTGCCCACTCTCTGCTGAAAAAGGTGGGCTTTTCAGGCAAGCCAACGAAACTTGTCTCGTGTTCACCTCGGAAGCCAGGCGTCTACCTTTCGATATGAAGAGAAGCTGGGTTTTCCTTAGCAGATTGATACTGGCATAACTTTCATTTCGTTCGAGAAGGCGGGTGGAAGGGAATCATAGATTGTCCCCACCGGATGCCAAGGGAGGGTTGCCTTGAACTTTTGTCCGTTAAATTGTGCCTAGAATATCTCGACTTTCCGTCCTACGACCTCGATGATGGGCATCGTCAGAGCCAGAAACCAGTATCCATGAACACGATGTTATCGGGGTTGTAGGACGGTGGGCAGAGGTATTCGTCGCACAATTCAACAGAGAAAAGTCCAAAACAAGCTTTCTTTGGTATCCGGTGAGACCAAACTACGAGTCCCTTTCACCTGCCTTCGCAAACGAAATGAAAGGTATGCCAGTATCTACGTTTTGATACTGCATCTAGCCTCAATGTCGAAGAAATGGGCTTCGAAACTACCAACAAAACTTGAATAGATGTTGAGCTTGCATTAATGTCGAATGAAAGTAGGGGAAATGAAAAGACTTATGACGACGTTGAAGTCCTCTTGAATGAGGAGCAATGAAATGCAGCAAAATCTGATGGTATCCGTCATATATAACAAAGAAAAACGCAACACTTTTTCACTGTAGTCGGAAGATATTTCCTCATGAGCATCGTCAATCAGGAGGCTCCAGTAAAGCCAACCGACAGCTGGTTAAGAGGAATCGGCTGTCATCTTTTGGTTGAATCCAATCTCGAATATCTTAAAATCACACATTTTCAGTCTAATTGAAAATGAGCTCAACAGTAATATCCCATGAGATTCTTCCAGACCCAATTTTTCTTCGTACTTGGCTCCGTCGTAGCCAACCGAATTATCTGACTTTTTTCAGTTCTATACGTAGGTCTACGAGACTACCAGTGGACATAATATGAAAGCTGTGTTCACTCTATATTTTCAAGTTTCATAAGACTGATATTGTGAGGGGGACTTTAATTTCATATGAAAGTGCATGAAGAAGAGACTCAGAAGACGACGGCTGATTCCTTTTGTACTGCAGCCGTTTGACTTAAATACGATGTTCAGCTTGAGGCAGTCCAAGAGACATCCTTCCCAGTTTCCTATAAAAATTTGCTCAACTTTTGTCTATCACATGACGGACATCATCAGAACTGGAACTCATTCTTGCAAAAGTCTCACGTTAGCACCAAGTCTAGAAGACTGTCCTGTGATAGCATATCTCATATGTATAGAAACAGATAGCTATAAAATAGTTTAATTAATTACCTTTTATGTTGATCGTGCTACTTTTACTTGAGTGTGTATGTCTTCTTGAACTGGTCTGAACATGAGACATTTTTAAGAATGAGTTCCGGCTCTAATGATGTCCGCCATATGATGGACGAAAGATCAACCAGTTTCCCCTCGAAGCGAGGGAGAATGTTTTGTCGACTGTATCAACATGAAAGTCGTAATAAAGCCAAACTACTGCAATACAACGGGAGTTAGCCATCGTCTTCTGGTGAAGTCAACCTACGAATCTCTTCTTCATGTATGTTCATACGAAATGAAAGTTTCCCCAACAGTGATATCTTAGGAGACTTATCGAAGCCCAGCTATTTTACATAACCATACAAATGATAGTTAAATTTTCCCAAGGCCTACTAATAAAACGCTAAATGAGTAGTGTGGTGGATTGCTTTAGCAAATACAAATTTGCTTTGTCGGAAATTCCACTCCAGAATTGGCATATTGGAAAGGTCTGGCCTTTGTTGAAATTCGCTTCTGCTCTGTGACACGAGGTCAGTCGTGTTAGTGCCGCGTATTGGCCAACCTACACCACGACAACGACCTGGGTTCGAGACCCACTGAAGGCGGTTATGGGACCCAGACGAGATGGACACGGCAGTCCACTTCAGCCTGTATGAGAATGCCTTTTGGCAGGCAGGTAAGTGAAGTTCACTGGGAACATGAGACCTGCAAATTGCATTGTGGGAAAGTTCAACTACCGATTCCCCCATCACCTTAAACGAATCAGGGTTAGCACAGTTCGTTAATCTGACTTAAGGTTGCCATAAGTGATCCTGGGTGATCCGAGTTCTCATTCCAGATCTGCGGGTACTTTCGAAATCCATCCACTCGGTCAGTGGATTCACGCATTGAAATGCGATTTTCACCTTTTTTACCTGTTTTCTATTGTTCTACTCGTAGAATCATACACAACTTGTCGTTATGACACTTTTCGGCATTATTTAGTCTTATTTATCCATTTAGTCATCAATCCTTCTTCCTCGCTCCATGGCCCACTCAGCTCATTCAGCTCCAATTCCATTCATCCAGCTTGCCAGCCAACGATCGATCTGAAAGTACTCTTTCCTCTGTATCTATTCGTCAACTTTCATAGTTCTGGATCTATTCATCTCTTTGTTTATAGTTCTCTTCTGTCTAGCCCACCATCTGTCTCTTTAGACTTTCGGCTTGGCTACTTACGCCAGACTCTTTAGTCATTGGTACCTCTATCTGTTGGTCTATCGAGGCATCACCTCGTGGACATGCCCGACTGCCCTATTCATCCAGTCACCCTGCCGTCCCAAGGCTTCCTCCCGAGTCCCTATAGCCTAATGTAAATGCATTGTCCACCTCCCCAGTTTGGAATAGACTTTTTGAGCATCGGCCATCACGCAAGTACAGATATTGGTGCAATTTGATGAAGATACTTACTCATTCGCTCAGGCTGGGGTGTTGAAACAAAGTAACACCAAATTATCAACTTGCGGCGCCAACATAGAAACCAGAAACTTTGAGCTCTACCACCCGGTTCCCAGTCCCACCAGGGTCTCTAGGGCCTAGTTTCGATGAGATCGAAACGGCAACTGTAGCGTCAACGATGCATTCTCGTTTATGCTGAAGGATCAAGCGGACCAAAGCCATCAGTCGTCTAGAAATTGAGGCTTTAATTTGTGAAGATTGTTTACATTGCAGTTAAGGCGTAATTAGTCAATTGTATTCAAGTTAGGGGTTACATGCTCTGACAATGTTTGCCAAGGTTGGAGAAATGATAGAGAACTAGGAACATCGTAGGCAGATGTCTAGACATTCAATAGATCTTGAATATGATTTTAAGATTCGTGTTGTTGTTGAAGATTTCGAGGCCTGAGAAGCGCATGAATAAGAATATTAGTCACACAAAGTCGGTTAGGGTGAGACAGAAATGTGGTTGAAATAGTCCCACAATCAAACGACTAGACGAGAAGATGCAATTTGCACTCACTCATTCACTCGCCTTGACTACAAAAATGTTTTGTCACAACCAGGCTTGAATGCAGTTTTGACCCCTCTTCTCCGTCTAATCCGAATCCTAAACGAAATTAGACATCAAGCATTGTAGTTTTCTTTACAATCGGCGGGGCTACTAAATACGTACTGAGTAGTCACTTGTTAACTACTTGTTTAGTGATCCTTTCGAATATAGGAAAATACAATTACAATGACTTTGTCAGTTTAGGTGGCTTTGGGCTGTTTGACGATTGATAATTAAATTGTTTTACAATCTGTATATAAGGCTCAAGAGATTTTACGAATACTACTTATACCAAAAATAGGTAACGTCGTCGAGTGTAAAGTTATATTCCTGCTTGCTCAGTTGATAATCCCATTGTATATGGGATTTTGGAAAGGCATTAAAAGTCACGTTTTTAAAATTAAGTCGTATCTGCTGGTCTAATTATTTTATATCTCCTCTCGAACACGAGTTTGGAAATAAGTTGTTTAAACTTGTTTTCGCAACATGGTCATGTTGGTAGGAACGCACCTAGTCCGGAGTCCATTGTCTGCATTCTCGTTTCCAAAGTTGAACCGCGGACGTGGTACATTCTCAAACTTTTCGCCGGCATCGTCAGTAAGTATCGCCATTCTTAGCACCATACAACTCGTCAAAGAGACAAGTGAAGCCAATCCTTTGACCAAACGTGGGAATGTACCACGTCCACGGTCCGACTTTGGAAATGATCCTGCAGACAATGGACTCCGGACTAGGTCCGTTCCCCCAAGTCTTCCTACCAATATGACCAAGTTGAAAAAAGAAGGTCAAAAAACGTTTATACAACGAAAGGAGATCACGACCAAACAAAAGACCACATCATCTTGGTTTGGAAAGCCTACTTCAATTGTCTCGAGGGCTTGACTTCACTTGTCTTTTTGACGAAATTTAGATTGGTGCTGAGAATGGCAAAACCCACTGCTTATGTCGACTACGGTGCCGACGAAACGTCTGAGAATGTACCAAGTCCGCGGTCTGATGCTGGGAATTATGATAGCTACTATGGCAGAGGACTTCGGACAAGGTGCGTTCTACTATGTTGCCCGGACAACAAGACCAAGTTGCGAAAATAAGGTCAACCCACTTGTAAAAGAGACTGCGGCTATACCGAAGGCAACACCATCTTGGTCTTCATATTCTGCAAGTTCGGAAAGACTCATTTGTCTGAATGTGGCCCAAGTTCTGTCACAAACTAATACCCCAACTCGCATCAAACAGCACTATTGTTGCTTTTGTCTGCAGACATTATAAAGAATTCCTTCTACAAAAAAGGGTTGTCATTGGCACATTTTGACAGATTAGCCTGAATGCCCTTCTCAATAGATACGACAAAAGATAGAGCATTTGTTTGCCCGAGTTTTCTAAATCTAACAAATGACCTGCTCACAAAGATTGTGATGGACGACAGTTTAGCCCTCGACTGAGTCTCACCAGCATTGTCGACAGCATCAGCAACAGCATCAACATCAGCAACAGCATCAACATCAGCA